CTCCTGGGTGCGCCCCCTGTCTCCTGGGCCCCTCGAGCGGCCACCGACATACTTCTTCCTCCTATAAGTACCTACGTACCCCGAAAACATCCAGAGAGCCACCGAACAAATATTTTCGCCACCGTAACCTTTTGTATCCGTGAGATCCCATCTTGGAGCCGTCGCCGGTGTTCTGTCGGAGGGGGAATCCACCATGGAGGACTTCTACATCAACACCATAGCCTCTCCAATGAGTTGTGAGTAGTTTACCATAGACCTTCGGGTCCATAGTTATTAGTTAGATGGCTTCTTCTCTCTTTTTGGATCTCAATACAATGTTCTCCCCTCTCTTGTGGAGATCTATTCGATGTAAACTCTTTTTGCAGTGTGTTTGTCGAGATCCGATGAATTGTCGGTTTATGATCAAGTTTATCTATGAGAAATATTTGAATCTTCTCTGAATTCTTTTATGTATGATTGAGTTATCTTTGCAGGTCTCTTCAAATTATCATTTTGGTTTGGCCTACTAGATTGATCTTTGTTACCATGGGAGAAGTGCTTAGCTTTGGGTTCAATCTTGCGGTGTCCTTACCCAGTGACAGAAAGGGTTGCAAGGCACGTATTGTATTGTTGCCATCGAGGATAAAAATCTGGGGTTTCTATCATATTGCTTGTGTTTGTCCCTCTACATCATGTCATTTTTCTTAATGCGTTACTCTGTTCTTATGAACTAAATACTCTAGATGCATGCTGGATAGCGGTTGATGTGTGGAGTAATAGTAGTAGATGCAGGCAGGAGTCAGTCTACTTGTCACAGACGTGATGCCTATATACATGATCATGCCTAGATAATCTCATAATTATTCGCTTTTCTATCAATTGCTCGACAGTAATTTTTTCACCCACCGTAATACTTATGCTATCTTGAGAGAAGCCACTAGTGAAACCTATGGCCTCCGTGTCTATCATCTATCTTCTACGCTTTCAATCTGCTTTTATTTGCATCTTTACTTTTTGCATCTATATTATAAAATACCAAAAATATATTTATCTTATCATACTATCTCTATCAGATCTCACTTTCGCAAGTGGCCGTGAAGGGATTGACAACCCCTTTATCGCGTTGGTTGCGAGTTCTTTGTTTGTTTGTGTAGGTTCATGGGACTTGTGAGGAGCCTCCTACTGGATTGATACATTAGTTCTCAAAAACTGAGGGGAATACTTACGCTACTGTGCTGCATCACCCTTTCCTCTTCAAGGAAAACCAACGCAAGCTCAAGACGTAGCAGAGGGTCGTCGTCGTCGTCATTGTCGTAGCTGACAACTCCATGTGACCCCCGGCAAGCCTCCGGAGCAAGCGTTCCTGCTCCTCGGTGTACCTCCTCGCCTTCGTCGACGCCTCGCGCTCCGACAGCTCGATAGTGAGTCAGAGCGCTTTGGCGATCTTCCGCCGCAGCCGCCACGCATATGTCTTCGGCGTTGTCAGGGAGCGCCGGATGATGGACACAATGGGCGCGTCCTCGGGATTGACGGGCATGTGCACGAGTGCCAGGCGCCTCGTCGAAGTGACACCCGCAGCCATGGGCTCCCTCGCACGCTGCCGCTCACACCCTGCAGCCCGCGCTTCCGACTCGGGCGTCCTCGACCGACCCAGCACCGGCGAAGGCACAAGCACCCATCGGTGCCCGTGGACACTCTTCGGAGGTAGAATGGACGGGTTGGAAGCCGGGCGACGTACCTGGATTGGCAAGGAGCTGGCGGCGCTCCCACCGGTGCTGCGCGCCGGACGGGATGACCCGACAACGTCGCCCGCACTGCGACAGCGGGCGAAGGGGGGGGGCGTCGCTCTGTGGGTTGCTTCTGCTACTATCGCCCTGACCTAGACGGGAGCGGCGCAAAGCAATGCGGAGAGCGGCCGCATCGACGTCCCTCTCGTCGTCATTGGAGCCGGACCCGATTCGGTCATCCGCCATGGATCAGATTGGAAGAGGAGAGAGTGGATTGGGAAGAGAAGGGGACATATTGGGAATAGGAGAGGATGGAGAGAGTGGAGTGGATTGAGGTCTAGGGTTCATCGGAGGGATATATATGGGGTCGGGGTGGGCCAGGCTGACGTGGCAGATGCGTGGACATTGTCCGACGCAAGTATGGCGCGACGTGCCCGCCGTGTGAGGCAGCGGGCGCGGGAGGCGGCAGTGGATGTTGGCGAGGCCGATTCGCATTCTCCGGCGCACCGTATGGTGCACGACCAGCCCGGGAGCCGCAACCGCGTCATGGTGGAAGTCATCGGCTCCTCCGACGATGAATCAATCATCGATCTCACATCCTCCGACACTGTGAAGGCTCCGAACTCTGACAAGGAAGAATAGAGCATGGGAGATGGCGGTGCCTTGAGTCCCGTGATCCGGTGTGTATCCCAAGTCCTACTCAACCTTGTCGGCGACCAGAGCAACACTTTGAGGGACGAAACCGGCCACTGGACATGGCCACGACGGAGGCGGACGAATTTCGCTTAGATTAAGTTTCACATTGCAAGTAGCAGTATGGATTTGAGATTTCTTAGTTGAGTACGTATAATGTGTTGTCTAGTCTCTTTCATCAAATCGGTCTTTTGATTGCATTGGCTAGAACATGCACTTCTACATGGTATCAGAGGTAAGAGGTCTTGAGTTCAAGACCCAGCTGACGCAATTAAATTGCAGTCCACTTTCGATCCACGTTTATCATTGTTCACGGACACGCTCGCCGGCGTTTGAAGGGTCGGATTTGTTGTATCCGAGCAACAAACCGGGCACCTTTTGCCAGGTTTGACAATAAACAGGCACCACTGAACATGCATCCACCACATGTTGCATTTTACTTGTAGTACTAGCAAGATGCCTGTCATTGCACATAACATGGAGATGCATTTTTTAAAACACCTGTTGGGATTGACCCATGCAGGAGTAATCATATGTGTAAAAGCTAATGATATCTCGAGAATGTCATAAAAAAATGATATCTCGAGAAAAATGAGAGATAAGGTGAGAAGGAGTGAGGCGCGGTGGTGATTGGTGGTCGGACTTAGCAGAGACATGGGGATGGACGACGCTGGCAGCGGCCACCATGCCAGATTGTTTCAGAGGCTTCCTTTTTTAATTACTTAGGGCCTGTTTGGTTTATGACTAACTTTGCCAAAGATTGCCACATCTAAAGGTAGGCAAATTTGACCAACTTAGATGAGTGTTTAGTTCAAGCCACATCTTAGGCAAGCCCCACTTGGGCCCCACATGGCATACATATAAAAAATGTGGCAAGATTCCCTTAGGCTTGCCAACTTGTGGCCCTCGTTTTGATGAACTAACCTTAGGCAAGCTTGGCAAAAATGTGTGGCAAAGTGTGGCAATGCTAGGCCTAGAACCAAACAACCCCTTAAAAATGAAGTTGTGAGAGATAAGGATGAACGAAAGAGGTGCGTGCATCTTTTGTAAAATTACCATAGTTTGTTTTCTAATCATTAAATATAGATTGAACGGTCTTTATTGTAAGATGACAGATACATCATCATCATGGTCGAGAGTAGAGACATGTATGGTCTACAATCGATTCGGACCAGTACCGGGGAGAAGAAAACAAATGACAAGACCAAACGCATGGGGTCAAGATAAGAATAAGATACATCGGACGCTGTGCGTGCATGCAGGAACGTTATCTGGCGCCTGCTCATTATGTTTATCCATCCCCATCAGTGACTATGCATGCAGGATTACTACTTTTTTTTTCGAAAAGAAAGATGACCCGGCCTATGCATGGTCAAGGTAATTAACCAAATGACCTGGAAAGCAGCATGCACAGCACACACAGTGCAAGGTCATCTCAGGCTGGTCATAGTGGAGAGTAACTTAGACTAGTAACATACATATGTTACTAGTCTATGTTACTACCTTCATAGTGGGTAGTGTCATAGGTGTGGTAACATAGTTGCCTTCATTTATTACTTTGTAGACTCATTATGCATTGGAAACCGCTATGTGATGGTAACATATTATGTTACTCTATTTGCCTCTCTCCTCATTAACTACTTGCCACATCATCAATTTTGCTTATGTGGCATCTATGTTACTACCTATGTTACTCCCACTATGACCAGCCTCAGTACCAGTACGCCTTGAACCAAAATGCTGTCGAACCGAACGCCAGGCATGATTACCCTTTTGCGGGTTTGACTCCAAGTGGAGTACGTTGCGGTCGTGGCCGGAGCATCAAGTCAAGTATAACATCAAACCGGGCACCTTCTGCTTGATTGTGAATCGGACCACTTCTTTGGATCGATGCCGGGGCAGCATGAGCATCGCCGATCGGCAACCAAAAATTGTCGGGCCATCCAGAGACCCTGCGGCTAGCTGAACCTGGGTTTGGGTGGACAGAGGAGTCATGACTCATGACGGCAGAAAGCGATCCGTCCATCCATCATCCATCCAACACCTGTCACCCCGCACCGCGGCACACGCTTCCCGGCCGCGGCCCACACGTGCGATCCGTCCAGGAGACCAAGCCGGATCGCACACGTACGCCCACCGTATACTTACCCCGTATACCATAAGCTCTACCATATCACGTACAGCAATACCGTATGCCTTCAGGTCAGCCCGCCATAATGTACACCGAGTCCATGGAGAGCGGTGCCACCACGGGTGGCCCGCGCGCCAGGCGGACAGAGACCGGCCACCTCCTGCGCCAGGCTCGGGCGCCTGGACCAGGCGCATGGACCGCTCCGGCGTCGTCCTGTAACTATAGAAAACGCCCCCCTGTTTTTCAATTCCTAGTCCTCCTGGCCTAGCTCAGCATCTCTATCCAATCCTTCCTTCCCCTTCTCTCTCCACCTCTCTCTTTCCTTCTCTCTCTCTCGAAGATTTCTTGTCCTCGTCTGTGTGCTCCGGCTCGGCGTGGCCAATCTCTCGGCGGACGCACCCACCCGCCGATCCGCGCGTGATCTTCCGTGATTTTCGCTGGATCTTGCTTAGCTAGCTGCGGGCGCGTGCATGTCGACGGCGCTGGCGCCGGGGATGGCGCGGGGGCACGGGTTCCGGGGCGCGGGGAAGGGGAAGCAGCGGCCGGATTCGGAGGAGCCGGAGACGAATCGGGGCGGCGGCCCCAACGGGTTCTTCGTCGAGGAGGAGGAGGGGGATGAGGTTGGGAGGGAGGAGCTGCGGGAACTGGAGGAGGCGCTATCGGATGCGTCCTCGATCGGGGCGGCCTCCTCGGATAGCTCCTCGATCGGGGAAGACTCCACGTCGGAGAAGGAGGATGGAGAGGAGGAGGAGGTGGAGAGCGAGGCCAAGGCGCCGGTGGATGAAGTGCTCGCTATGGGGCTCGGGACCCTCGAGTCTCTCGAGGATGCGCTGCCCAGCAAGTAAGCTTTCTTCTTCCCCATCTCCGTGCTCCTTGCTTTATTAATTAATTGCCGGTGTTTTTTTCGCTAAATTTGTATGATCTTGTTATGATCTCTTCGAGTTTTTCTTGGTCAAATAGGATATTTCTTAGTCCAACAGTCTTAGAGAAAAAGATGGATTTTTTTCCTCCTTGAGGAAAAAATCTGTTCTGATTCCTCGGCCAGTTGTGTTCTTCTGGTGTAATCATTGGGCTCTAGTAGATCACGAAACTGGAGCTAGGAAAACTAGTACTGCCCGTTCTGTTGAACTTTGCATTAGTTAGGACAGACTACGGAGAAAGTTCGCATCTTTCTGCTAGTCAAACTGATAAAGATCATGGATGGATTTAATTTGGTGCGTGTAGTTAGCTGAAATCCCGGGCATGTGAATAGCTTAGCTGTGCACCAACAACAGGCCAAATACTCTGCAAATGCAATTAGTACCCATGGAGTGTTTGCCCTGAACATTAACTGACCGAGATGAATGAAACTAATCGCAGGAGGGGCCTCTCGAATTTCTACGCCGGCAAGTCCAAATCCTTCACGAGCCTGGCCGAGGCTGCGGCCAAGGCGGCCGCCAAGGAGATCGCCAAGCCGGAGAACCCCTTCAACAAGCGCCGCCGCGTGCTGGCGGCATGGTCGCGGCGGAGGGCCTCCTGCAGCTCGCTGGTCACCACATACCTGCCGCCACTCCTCTCCCTCGACCACACTGTGGTGGAGGGGGACGAGGAGGAGGAGGAGGAGGAAGAACGCTCGGACGACGGCGACGACGAGGGTAACGGCAGCGGCAATGGCAGGAGGGAGAAGGCCCCGGCGTCGCCCAGGTTCCCTCCGCGCAGCCTGCACAGCGCGTCCCAGAAGGCAAGCGTCATGAGTAGGAACATGATCAATCCAAACACGAGCTCATTCCGATCTCCAAGGTCATTCTCCCTATCAGATCTGCAAAACGCTGGATACAACTAGCTGAAACGTAGGCCGAGTTTAGGTTGGCGAGGTGCTGCTGCTGCTACTGTATAATCAAGAGGTCTCTACATATAAGAGAACATTAATTTGTTGTGTTTGTCTGTCCGTCTGTCTGTTGGCCTCTTCTTGAATCACCTGATACAATAGCATGACATGGCAATGGCAACACGAAGTGGCCGTTTCTGTCAGCAAAACTGAAAGTTCTTAACCATGTTCTCATCGTTTAAAGGATAATGATGTTGAGCTGATGTTGTTGATGACAGATTAGTGGTTTAATTGTTGCTCTGACCAGCGGTGTTTGCTGCTGGCAGCAGACAGGTAGAAATGGTGGGTGATGAGTCCCATGCATGCCTCATCCGATAAGCATCATCCAGTTGTTAGCGACTCGCTTTAGGCCTCCTTAGCTGATTGCTACCATTAGCCAGCTAATCTAAAAGCTTTTTTTTTTTGCGCTGGAGCTAATCTAAAAGCTTAGCACACGGGAAGAAAAAACATTTTCCTCTCAGAGGTGGCATAATCTTTCGCTCCATGGACGGCAGAACAGCAAACGCTCTGCAGATCATATTGCGCGAGCAACGGCTTCCATGGACGGTAACCAACTTACTACTAGAAAGAACGGAAACCGAGAAGCTCAGATCTTGACGGGTCGCCACGTAGTACACCGGTTAACGAAGCAGGAGAGAACCGCGATCCGAACTAGAGTAGTTAACCTGGGGAGGGGGAAACTAAACAGCAGGCGGATCACACCTTAATCTCCCGTGATTAGTATAGCTCGTAGTAGTACGTTTCTGCCGCGACTGGGCATTCAAATTAAGCGGCGCGATCTCCCATCTGGTAATCTAGTGTGATGATGATGTTGTTTAAGGTTTGGAAGGGGCAGGCAGATGAGATGAGCTTTCTTCGGGCGCCTGATCGGGGCCGGAGGCGTTTAGTGTGTGAGCGGGACGGGGCATCCTATGCTAATGCTAATCCGCTCTTTGCTTATCTGCTAAGAGTCGTATTCCGTCGGCAAGTGTGATTAGATAAGGGTTTCAGGTACGAGAGGGAGTGTGGGAGGAAATGAGAATCGTGGGGAGGGCGGCGGTGGGGAGGAGATGATAATGTGCGAAAGAAAGGCGTCGGGGAAAGGGAGCAGCTGGGCCCCGCGGTGCGCAGCGGTGTGCGAGCGAGGGAGGAAAGGTGGAGCGAAGCGGCGTGACCTGATCTTATCCTGTTTCGCCGGGAGGGGCGCTGCTTGAAATATATTCCGATAACGTACGGCGGCCGAGCCTCGCTGTCTGGTGGGGCATGGGTCTGTAGGGCCCACCTGACTGTCTTTCCACACAAAAAGGGTGTTCCTGAAAAAGAGAAGAAAAAAGGCTTTGAGGAGCCGGGGTTGGCTTGGGCGCTTGGCTGGCTGTAAAAAGGAAATATTGCTCCACTGAAGGCAAATTACCTGATTCCCCTGGTGATTGTTTCCTACGATAGATTTGTATAATTCGGACAAGGGCGCTTATAGGCGCCGGCGCACCGGCCGAAACTTTCGGCCGGTCCAGCCCAGGCCATTGGATGTGAGCCAGGCGGCCGTTGGATCCAGGCAAAAAAAAAAAAAAAGATCGGCCCCAGCTTCTTCTTCCTCGCGCAGGCGGCCTGGATCCGCATCTCCCGCTCGGGGAGCACGACTCCGCGCCTCCTGTCCCCTCCGGTGGTCGTCCCCATCGTCAGTCCCCACCCTCGCCGGTCATCCTCGTCGCCCACCGGACCCCGCCCTCGCCGGCCGTCCTCGTCAACGGTCCCCCACCCTCCCGGCCTCGTTCTCGCCTCGACCAATGCACCAGCTCCACCTACGATTGCAGCTCTTGACGATGAAGGTTGTAGCTCCGCCGCCCTCGCCATTGATGCTCGCTGCAGGAAAAATACGTCGACGGCGGCCGTGAGTCAATCAACACCATTTGAATGGATGTAGCAAAAGAATTCACCGGTAGTAGCAAAATCAAACTACGGGTGCAGCAAAAACAACGTCGCCACCTTCACGAGGTCGCAGCTCCGCCTTACATGGATGTAGCAAAAACTTCCAACGGTAGTAGCATAATCCTGCTACGGTTGCAGCAAAAAAATCATTGTCGTCCTCGCGAGGTCGCAGCTCTGCCTGATGGATGTAGCAAAAAGCTTTGCCGGTAGTAGCAAAATCCAACAACGGTTGCAGCTTTCCCTTTTTGTGCGTGCCGTTGAAGCTTTCTATGTCTATGGTTGAAGCTTTTTTCAACGGGTGTTGAAGCTTTTCTAGGTGACGGTTGCAACACTTGTATACGCGGGAGGATCTTGGCGCTGCGAGCTCCCTCGGTCGCCGGCGAGATGGGATGGTCGCCGCG